CCCAAACCCTAACCCGGGCCATTTAGGTCTACGGCCAAACCCCTACTCGCACCCCTAACAGCCCCAAGCCTACTTCTCTACCCCTCACCTACCCCACGGCCTTACCTCCCCCTACCCCAGCCCCTACCCGACAGCCCCCTCTCCCTCCTACCCGATAGGGCTGTTCACATTTAGGTCCGGACCGAAAAAACTGACCGAATCGGACCGATAGGTCCAGACCGAATGGATTTCGAGTCGGTCTTCGGTCCAGAAAATTTTGGCATTCGGGTTTCGGTCCGGTCCGGTCCGAACCCGAAATGATTTAGGTCCGTACCGATTGGACCGGTTGGACCTAATGACCTACTGGACCTAAAAGACCTAAATACTAAAACTCTACTTTTTACATTTCGTATTACACTTTGATGCTCTATTTTAATAAATATTTTAATTTATTTAATTTGAAGTGTTTTTTATTAAGTAATTTTAAAAAAATCTTTAAAAAAAATTTCATATTTGTTTTTATGGTTCTACATTGAAGTAGTTCATATTGTGTATCCATTTTAAGGCTGCCTATTTTTTTTATTCATTTTCTATTTGAATAGTACAAAGTAAAAAGTCAAAAATATATATATTTGATCAAAATAATTAAAAAAAATATAATTTTTTCGTTCCAATCGGTCCGGACCGGTTCGGTCCGGTCCAAACCCAAATGGATTTAGGTCCGGTCTTCGGTCCTAGAATTTAATCATTTTGGTCTTCGGTCCGGTCCGGGTCGATTCGGTTCGGTCCGGTCTTAGACCGATGAACAGCCCTACTACCCGACACCCCCGCCCTCACCCATAAGCCATCCCACCGGTGTCCACACCCCCACTGCCCTAGCCCACAATTTCGACACCCTCAACCTCCGTGATCCAAATTGGTATATGGACACCGGCGCCACTCACCACATCGCCTCAGACCCAGGTATTCTTTTTCATGTCCATACTCATTCTTTAAATTCTTCATCATATATCACTGTAGGTAATGGTTCTAAAGTCCGCACTATGGCTATAGGTAACTATAAATTTCCCACATCCCCTCCCCTTAACTTACAAAATATCCTTGTCTCCCCCCACATTATCTACAACCTTATTTCTGTTCACCAGTTCACTCGTGACTATAATTGTTCTTTTGAATTTGACTATAGTGGTTTTTCTGTGAAGGATATGCTGACGGGAACTTTGATTCATCGGTCCAATAATGCCGGCCCTCTCTACCCCATGAGCCAGTCCACCGCCCAAGCCCAAGCCCAAGTCAACGTTGTCAATGGTAGCTCGAAGCTCTGGCACCGTCTTCTTGGTCACCCTAGCCTTGTCGTCCTTCGTGGAATCCCTAGTCTTTCCTCCATGTCTTTTAAACATTTACAACACTCTCTTTGTCATGCTTGTCAGTTGGGGAAACATGTTCGTCTTCCCTTTGAGTCATCGAGTCGTATTTCTATTTTTCCCTTTCAGCTTTTACATACTGATTTATGACAATCGCCTGTTACTAGTGTTACTGGGTTTAAACATTATATGGTACCCTGGATGATTATTCTCATTTTTTGTCCTCTTAAACATAAATCTGATGCATGTTCTCATCTTCACACATTTATTGCCTTTGTGAAAAATCAGTTTAATGCTACTATTAAGGTTGTTCAGTGTGATAAGGGAACTGAATACAGGAACACACCCCTTCGTAACATTTTTGAATCCTTGGGTATAATCTTCCGCTTCTCGTGTCCACACACTAGCCAACAAAATGGTCGTGCTGAACGGACCATTCGTACCATAAATAACACTGTGTGATCTCCTCTTTTTCAGGCCCAACTCCCACCCACTTTCTAGGTTGAGGCTCTACACATGGCCTCCCACTTTTCAACCTCTTACCCACCACCACTCTCCAAAATCACCCTCCCCATGAAGTCTTTTATGGTTCCAAACCCACCCACTCTCACCTTCGTGTCTTTGGTTGTCTCTGTTATCCCAATATTTCGGCCACCGCCCTTAATAAACTCGCACCTCGCTCTGCCCGATGTGTCTTCTTAGGGTACCCGTCCAACCAACGGGGATACCAATGCCATGATCTTCTTACCCACAAAATCATCATATCTCGTCATGTCATTTTTGATGAAATTACCTACCCTTAATAAAAGTGGTACTCCCTCCGTCCCAAAAAGGATGGGACGGTTTGACTTTTTGGGAAATTAAGGGAGAGATATTTTGGTATTCACTTTCCAAAAATACCCTTGATGTGATGTGTAAAAGTATGATGTGATGGGTAGATTATTAGGAAAAAGGTATGATGTGATAGGTAGGGTATGAAAAAAATAAGGGGTAAAAGTGGTTTTTTAATAGAATTGTAACGGACTTTACGGGACGTAGTTTTTTCTAAACGTAACAAACTTTTTGGGACGGAGGGAGTATTAAATATTGATACAAAAGAGTTTTATTAGATTTATTGTATCAAATATTTTCAAAATATTATTTTATCTAATTAGTGTACAATATATATTTTATTTAATAATAGGTCAAAGGTTGAAAATAGTTGATCGGAAAAAGTCAAAACTATACAAATACTCAGTGACGGAGGTAGTATCTTGTTAAGAAATTTTTAAAATTTTATTTCATTATACTAATATTTAATAAAAGTTGAGAGTAATTAACATTCAAAACTTGTCCAATTTAATTAAAAAAGATCAAACTTAGCACATATTGTTGAGCTAGGTAGGCTATGTTATATTCACCTGATTTGATTGGAATAAGTTGTGATTTGGATATAGTTATATGTAAAGCTATTTATGATTTGATCTGATATAATTCTAGGGTATAAGAATGAGTAACAAATCCTTTATATATATATTATTTGAGACTCGGGCTCACAGAATGTCGACATGTGGCAGGTCTACTTGGCAAGTTTTTTATGAGTCATCTGCCACCTTTGAAGAGTTTAATGACTTGGCACTTTTATATTAAAATATAGAAAGATCCAATTCTAATTAATATGCCTAATATATACGGAATACCTTATACGGCGACTAGAATATAATTACGAAGTAGAAAAATAAGAAGATAATTAGGATGAGTAATTTTTAAATTTTTTTCTAATGTATTTTGATTAATTATAATGAGTACAATGTAAAAAACATCATAGTTTTTTCTACTGATAATATATGTTTAATTTATTTTTATGTATATTAATATTTCCATTGAATAATAATAATAATAATACATTTAAGTTAGAACAAATTGAAAAGGTTAAAAAGGAGAAAGACTATTATAGACGTAAAGTATAAAAAAGTATCAAAATTATTTATTTTGACTTCTACCTCAATACTTCTCCTTTCTAACTATTATTGTCATTTGAGTTTACTTTCATCTTTTTTATTGTGTATTCTAACGTCTAACATTAGATAATTTTAAAAATAATTAAAATTTTGATTCTAGGCATTTTTTAACTGAGAAAATTATAATATCCAAAGTGGACACTTAATCATATTGTTTAATAGAGAGAGAATCGTGAGTATTTCTTTGGTGCACCTTGAAAACGTATCATTTTTGTGGACCTTCTCACTTAAAATATACTTTTTTAATTTTTTATTTATAAAAACAAATGCTTATTTTAGTAATAAAGAAATACTTATTTTGCTCATATGTACGTCTATGGTACACCTTAAGTCCACCATAGAATTTGTTGAGAATCATTAATATGTTTAAAGCGAAATTCATAGATTGAAATAAGACTTTCAATGCGTTAAACCAACGATAATAATTTTAGAATTATTGAAGATATTTTTTGAAAAAAATGCATACCCAATGTTGACTACTTAAGTAAATTGTTTTTGGGGAAGCCTAATATAAATAAATAACCTTAGATATTTGAAGAAAATTATACTACACCCGTCCCATTAAATTTTTCAAATACAAAGAAAGGCGTCCCACAAAACTTTTCAAATTAGAAAAAAGGTACACCCTAAAATCATTTATCCTACATATCATACCTTATTACCTTATTATAAAGTAAAGGAAAAGTTTAAAAATAATATCAAAATTATATATTTTTAAAGGAGTTCAGTGTTATGTCATTTCTAGATGATAGTCTTCTTAATAGATTTCAAAATAATTTCTTGATTTAGAACTTGAACTATGACAAAGAAAAATTGTCATTTGATTTTAGAGGATATTTATCTA